TCTCTCTCTCTCTCTCTCTCTCTCTCTCTCTCTCTCTCCAAGAAATAAAATACGTGTCTGTTTTTAAGCAATTATTCTTTTGCATCTTACCTTCCAGCCAGTTACACTGAAAGTCTTTCCGGCACTTCCTATCGTTATTGTTCTCTCCCACATACCTGGAAAAGTAGCTAAACCGGAAAAAGAAAAAAAAAGGTTAAATAATTGCTCTCCAGTCAATCTACATTCAGTATAACTTAAAAACATACATGTAGTATAATGCAGTCGGTATATTTCAGTAGGTTTTTTTTTTTTTTTAATTTTTTAATGTTTATTTATTTTTGAGAGAGAGAGAGACAGAGCTTGAGAGGGAAAGGGGCAGAGAGAGAGGGAGACACAGAATCTGAAGTAGGCTCCAGGCTCCGAGCTGTCAGCACAGAGCCCAATGCGGGACTCGAACTCATGAACTGTGAGACCATGACCTGAGCCAAAGTTGGACGCTTAACCAACTGAGCCACCTAGACGCCCCTATTTCAGCAGGTTTTTAAAATATAATGTAACTTTAAGCCAAACATAGTTGAAAATGTCACAGTGCTTAAAAATACTGTATAATATGTGATAGATTAAATAATGTTAACTAGCAAAATCACTTCCAGGGTCAGAAGTGGCAGAGGTGTCAGTAGGCAGCGTTCCGGGCAGTGGTTGCACAGTCGTGGCGTGGCACCTGGTGCTCAGTGTCAGTGGTAGCTGTGCATTCACTAATACTGCACTCTTCCTGTGGCACCATTTTGATTGTGGTCCTGGCCACTGTTGACTCGCCTCTACTCTGCCCATTTTCTGAGTCTACCTCTACAGGATTCCTAAGACAATGTTTCTTAAAATGTGGTTCTCACACCAGTACTAGCAATATCAATGGGGAACTTGTGAGGAAGGCAAACTATTGGACCATATCTCAGATCTCCTCAATCAGAAACTCTGGGGGTAGGGCCCCGCGATGCATGTGTGCATGTGTGTTTTGGTAACAATTTTAAGATATATATCCCACACCATAAAATTTACTTATTTAAATTGTCTAATTCAATGGTTTTTAGTATATCTGCAGAGCTGGGCAACCAGTTTTAGAACATTTTTTTTCACCCCAAAAGCCCATACCTTTTAGGTACCACCCCTTAATATCTCCGTGGCCAATAGCCCTAGAACTTGTCTGAATGGAGTTTATTTGGCATATTTATTCTCTCCATAATGCACACCACAATCTTCTTATACTTCAAAACATCAGCCAGCACTTCAGCACTATGCTACGGGGTTTATTTTAAACAACAAAATCACCATGAAAAGGGCACTTGTTTATAGTATAAGCTGAAATAAGGCAGAGTGTTGCCTTGTTGACCTCAACTGAGAATACACATATTAGGTGACTCAAATTTTTTGCCCCTTTTGGCACATCTGTGAATGAAGCGCTGTGAGTATTGACTTTGAAGTTACAAATAGATTTCTGCGAGTAGGTGATTCACAAATATGGATTCCACAAATAATGAGAAATGACGGTGTAAACGTTTTCAAGTGATTGACATCTTTAATAAAATCATTCATTCACATACTCATTTGCTTATCAAACATTTATTACCAATGACCAGGTCCCAGGGACTAAGCCATGTCTAAAAGAAACAAAGATGAGAAAAAAGCACATCCTATCTTTGAAGAGCTTATGGTCTAGCGGGGATGGGAGAAAAGTAAAACAACAGTCATATACAGTGTGTAAGTGCTGTAATAGTAAGCGGCATGGAGTATCATGCAAGGACAGAAGGTGTTAGGAGTAGCTTTCTGCAGCCAGTAAAGCTTAAGCTGAGACCTGGAAGACCATGTAGACTTCTGCCAGTCAGAGAAGGGGAGGAAAGGTATTTGGGGCAAAGAGAATGCAGGTAAAATCATACAGGTATAAAATGCAGGAGCTTGTGAATTCTGCCCCAAATTGGTAAATTATTCCCTTGTTAATCTTCGGAGAGTGCTACCTATGCTGCTCTTTGTTCCCCTTTTTTAATGTTTATTTATTTTTTAGAGAGAGCGCACGAGCGGAAAAGGGGGAGAGAGAGAGGAAGACACAGAATTGGAAGCAGGCTCCAGGCTCTGAGCTGTCAGCACAGAGCTTGACATGGGGCTCGAACTCATGAACCACAAGATCATGACCTGGGCCAAAGTCAGCGCTTGACCAACTGAGCCACCCAGGCGTCCCCCTATGCTGCTCTTTGTATTCCTCAAGTAGTTTAGATGTTAAGTTCTTCACATGCAATCCCATGAGTTTTTCACTTGTTTTTCAGAGGTACAGTAGATACTCTTGTATTGTTCTAAGAGTGTTGGTATACATAAAGAGAAAACAAATAGCCATTTGTGTGTGATCTAAGCTACTGTTTTCTTAATCTTCTCATATACAAGTCAAGTGGCTACTAAAATGTAAGGTAGCTAAAGAAATTTCCAAAATGGAAATTCATATGTAATCAGTCCACTGTGAAATACCTGCCAATATCTGTAAAGGTAGGAAAACTACATAAATCAGGATGTTATAATTGTATTCTCTGTGGAGTAAAACAAAACCCAAAAATAATAAATAAAGAAAATATTTAGAGAATTCAAAGAAAGAATATTCTAACATTTGATATAAATATCCTATCATTTCAAGTTTTGAAACAGTTCTAGTATTCCAAAAGAATACCGTGACACATGTCCCACTTTCCTATTTGACCAGAGAAAATCTAAACTATGTATAATGCAGAGTATCACCTCTTTTAAAGTAATAATATGTATCCAAAACCCGGAAAGTCTATTAGTAAACACAATATTTAGAAATAAGTTCTTTAAGGGGCACCTGAGTGGCTCTGTCAGTTAAGCATCCGTCTTCTGCTCAGGTCATGATCTCACCATTCCCGAGTTCCAGCCCTG